TTTCTATATATTTATGTATTACATCGACACAAATGTTTGAACAATTCCAAAAAAAAGGATCTCTCGCCAGTTGATTATTCCACGCGTAAGAGACTGTTTCGCGACGGCGGATAAAATTCGTTACGACGATCCGCATTAAATGCTAATGAGCCAGCTGATCTCGGCTGACTCGAAAACCGACCGTCCCAGCGACGAGGAGTTAGGCTCGGCTAAGAAAAATGACAGCCACCGAATTAATTCGGACCGACGCGACGATTATTCCGACGGAGAGGGATTAAGACGCGTCCCGGAAGTTACCCGCCACTCGGTAATTCCGATGCCAGAGAACTTGCGAAATTTCGCGACCCGGCGACAAATACCTGCTAACTAACCGACAATCCGTCTAATCTAACTCCAGGCGACCGTCGTCGCGTCGTGTTCATTACGATAGTTAATAAATTTCCTTTTCAACTTCCGACAAACAAAAATTCTTATAATTTATGATAACACGCTTTAAAAAAAAAAAGCAGATGTGCATATTTTGTCACTCAACTGTCACTGGCGACGATAAAAGAAGGAACAAATTAATACAATGTACACTGAAGCTGATAAGACGAAAGCATTTATTTTCCGGTTATTCCCGTTGGGAAATTCGAATTAAAATACGTATGCATAACCTATTAGAAAGTTTGTTCGATTAAAGAAGTATTCTAGTTGCCTCGGCGGCAAATTACGCGATGAAATCGGAGAGTTGGCTGAGTGCAACAGAGCGCGGACGCGAGGTTAATTTAGCTGCAGTCGGGTCGCGTTAATTAGACGCAACGCTATGTTGCTGCTGTGCGTATTCCATAACGAACAGATAAATACACACGGCAAATATTTGCAAATCCTGAACAGAATTCCTCTCTGCTTTCATTCCTGATACTACGCTATCTGATCTAGCAAACATAGGTAATAGCTCTCGTTGATCTTTGATATCAGAAATTTCCGAATTATTGAGGAAGCCGGAGCTTGTTGTATGTTTCATATTATCTAAATACTGTTTCTTAAGGGAAACGAGGGGGAGGGGAGGGGGTACGGTTCTAAAACAAGCACTTCGAGAATTTTTTTGAAGAGATTATTAGAGTTACTTTATTAAAGTTTGTTGCACATTGTTATATAAGATTTGAAGAACATTCAGTAATTTTTTCGTGAAAAAATATTCATAAACAAGTCAGTGAGAGCGAATTGACGGAGGCCATTTAAAAAAAGATTCGTTTTGCGGTGTCCACGATAACTCGTTACAAAATCATCTGAAACACAAATAGTTGGAAAAAATGATTAATTTAGAAGTAAATCTAAGTCGCAACGTTGTCGTTTTATTTAAAAATATTTTTTTCAATTTTTGGCGGTTGGTTGAAGTCAAAACCACGATATTTACACTGAAAATGACGCCATTTTGTAGCTGTGCAACACTTTTAATAAAGTAGCTCTAATAGTTTCTTCAAAAAAAATTCTCAAAGAAGTGCTCGTTTTAGACCTGTTGTCCCTTTAGGTAATTTTTATTTAATAACATTTGAGTAATGGTCACATAAACCGTTTGATTTGGTATTGGTTCTTCAATTAAATATGAAAAAATATAAAGACTTAAATCACGGCAACTGCGGGTCCTCGGAAATCCCGATTTTACTTCCGCTCGAGAAATTACTCCAACTAATTGGACTAGCCAGGCTAGCGACAGATTGCTCCTTGACTAATTTCAATTCCTAGCTTAATATTTCAAGAATCCTCATCAGGGAGGACAATAATAATTAAACGTCATTATTAACAACAGCCATCTTAATGAAAAATTGTAATATAAACCGAAGAGTTGGCGAAACGTGTCAAATAGGAATTAAGTGTAATTAATTTAATATCCCAAGGGGTTCACTCCTTTCATTTTCAGATATAACGAGTATTCATATTTTATAATTGACTAAATTATTATTACGTCAGGCGAGTTAAAAAATAAAATAGAAGTCTAACGAATTAGTCATGAACTTTGAGTAGTCAAAAGCGTTCTCTAATTAAGCAGGCTTCGGTTTTTTTCAATAGGCAAGATTTCTGATAACGATCTCGTTTTCAGTTTTCCATCGTAGCCGCGGGCGGCAATAAACGATCGTGTTAACGAAATTGCGGATGATTCTTTGTCCGCTTTGATGCTCACCCCGCTGACAAAAATCGATTCTCCCTTGTCGATCCTCGGAGATCGACTCGTTATTGAATTTCCCCACGGCGTTTGTCAATTTCATTTCGTTACACTCTTCTTGCTTACTCATTCCAGCTTCCACAGCATCCTCTGCCTCTAACATTTTTTTAAATACACTTTTTTTTATATCAATTCTATTCACAAAGTCTTCTCGCGACACAGTCTTTCATTTTTCATCGGTGAAGATCGGATCAAACAGAATACATACCGTTTGATGTAAAACGCTGATTAATGTCGCGCGATAATTCTCAAAGGGAATTGCAAAAAATGGCAGAGATAATGGAAAATGCAACAACGTAGGAGCAATCTGATTAATGATCTCCCGATTGGGATTCGAAAACGCGCTCGAAATAATTAGCTCCCCGCCTGTGGCTCGTTTTTGTCCCCCGTTTGAACGTACGATACGTCTGGCCGTGCGCAAGTTAATAATTCTGATCATTATCGAGCCAGTACTCGTACAAGGGACCGTGGAGAATGCCAATTCCCATTCTAAAAGCTTTTCGTAAAACCTAGTGTGTACGTATGTATGTATGTATGTAATAATTAATTTAATATCCCAAGGGGTTCACTCCTTTCATTTTCAGAGATAACGAGTATTCATATTTTATAATTGACTAAATTATTATTACGTCAGGCGAGTTAAAAAATAAAATAGAAGTCTAACGAATTAGTCATGAACTTTGAGTAGTCAAAAGCGTTCTCTAATTAAGCAGGCTTCGGTTTTTTTCAATAGGCAAGATTTCTGATAACGATCTCGTTTTCAGTTTTCCATCGTAGCCGCGGGCGGCAATAAACGATCGTGTTAACGAAATTGCGGATGATTCTTTGTCCGCTTTGATGCTCACCCCGCTGACAAAAATCGATTCTCCCTTGTCGATCCTCGGAGATCGACTCGTTATTGAATTTCCCCACGGCGTTTGTCAATTTCATTTCGTTACACTCTTCTTGCTTACTCATTCCAGCTTCCACAGCATCCTCTGCCTCTAACATTTTTTTAAATACACTTTTTTTTTATATCAATTCTATTCACAAAGTCTTCTCGCGACACAGTCTTTCATTTTTCATCGGTGAAGATCGGATCAAACAGAATACATACCGTTTGATGTAAAACGCTGATTAATGTCGCGCGATAATTCTCAAAGGGAATTGCAAAAAATGGCAGAGATAATGGAAAATGCAACAACGTAGGAGCAATCTGATTAATGATCTCCCGATTGGGATTCGAAAACGCGCTCGAAATAATTAGCTCCCCGCCTGTGGCTCGTTTTTGTCCCCCGTTTGAACGTACGATACGTCTGGCCGTGCGCAAGTTAATAATTCTGATCATTATCGAGCCAGTACTCGTACAAGGGACCGTGGAGAATGCCAATTCCCATTCTAAAAGCTTTTCGTAAAACCTAGTGTGTACGTATGTATGTATGTATGTACGTGACACGACCATGATAACGCATTAAATGAGATTAAATTGCAATTTTAATTTGATAATTGAATTTCGTTCGATAAATAAATTCTTGAAATATCAACAATTGATTGTTGCTCTTAACATCATGTTGCATTTGTATTAATCCGCGAAATGATAACAATTTAAAATCTACACTCCCTAAAGAGAGCTCGAGCCCTGAAAAGCTTACAAAAACTCGATTCGAGTCGAGACAGTCGTTTATTAATTTTCAAAAATGTTTTTTCGCCGAGTGCATGACGTTTAAGGTATCCCAGGGCGTGCGAGAGAAGTCGAATATTCAACGCGACGGGCAACGAAAAAGAAGAAAATTAAAGAAAAGTCTGGTCTTTTCAGGCGGAACCCGCGCTCATGTACGACAGCGTGCAGGTGTTCGCGGTGGGATTAAGGACCTTGGAACTATCGCACGCGCTCAGGCCAGCGAACATCTCCTGCGAGCTAGAACGCTCCTGGGACGGCGGCTTGTCTCTCATTAACTACATCAACTCGGTGAGTTTTCATTTTTCAGATACTAGCATGTATACTTGCTTGAATTCAAGAGACTACTTCGCTGAAAAAACCCCTATTTGCATTGTTGATTAAAACGCAGTGACTGTGCAAGGAAGAAAAACTGAATGGGCGTTTTACATTCTAAATACGACATATAAAAAATGGAGAGAGATATTTAGCAATTTAATTTTTATATGAAAAGAAATTAAAGAAAGTCGGGTGAATGATGGAAAATAAATTTCTATGACGAGTTTCTTTAAAATTGACATATAAAGAGATTGGACAAGCACCGTCGCGTAACCACGACATTTCGCCTGAATGGATAAGAGATTAAGAGCGGCACGCCAGGTATTTCGCATGCCCAGGAAACGTAGATCAAAGCGGAATTTAATGTTTCGTCGCATTAGCGGTGCCACGTTATTCGAGAAATGTCATGGCGCACGCTGAATGGCACCACGTATTTTGCAAAATGAAAACGGCTTAAGGGCGCGCCTGTCGTCGACTCGTACTACTTTCGTAGCGCGACGCGAAGAAACTTAACTGCCCGCAGCCACGCGGTGAAATACGAACGCGAAGGGACTGGCGCGCTGCCAGGTACAACTCTATTCCGAATAATGGTCGAGAACGAATAAAGGTTTTACAGACTCGTGAGGAAAGCGCGGCGACCGAATTTTGAATTATTACGATGATATTGTTTCGCAGTATTCCTTTTTAACTGCAATTTTATGATATAAGGTTTTACCGGAAATTCTCATGTGGACCAACAAATGTTTCTGTTGGTACATAAAATATCTGTAGGTGGTTCCAATATTTTATTCTTTGAAAGCAATTTTCTATTAAAAATTTATGTCAATTATTTATGGTATACTGTTGCTTTTATACATTCTGAATAATGTCATCTCATATCTGCATTACATTCTCGTATAGTTTCGCAGTAAACAGGATTAGCTCGATAATGCAACTGGTCATTTAGACAAGAATGTATTTTCCTGACTAACTGTAATGTAAATTTGGTGGAAATAGTAGATGGTAAACGTCTGGCGACTATTAAGGAACCGCCGATATTGGAATTTAGCTATGGCGCAATTAAATTAATGGTGGCCCATAAGTGCTCCCCAGAGGACGCAGGCGGACACTGTGAGTACGTCTAGATTACAAACGCACCCTTTGGTTACCTAGCCGAGGCGTCGCGTCGCGACGGTATTACCGGAATTTGACCACAAGGCGTGACACCGTGAACACCGTAATTCCTTATTAATTTCGGGTCACCGAGCCACGTTAATTCCCCGCATTACCGATAACAGCCTCATAAACGTGTAATGTATAATAACGATTGCCATTGTACGATATTAAACAAGCGGCGTAATTTTGATCCTCGATGAGGGGCTTTGCTATTAATCGCGAGTACAAAACCTGGCAAGGATTTGTCGTCGGTCGAGCTGACGGCCGGAAATGTTCGTTATTGTCGAAAATTTATCCGAGTCTAGTGTTTGTGACGCGCTCGCTGCGAATTCATAGAAACAAGCATGTCGATCGGTACATAATGCTGTTGAAATAATGCCTAAAGAGAACTTTAAACGCACTCGTTGAATTCGCGTTGGGTGGTGAGCCAGCGCGAATCGTTTATCGGAATGTTTATTAGCTCGCGTTCGACAAATATTTACACAAAACGTTCAATTTTGGAATTTCCAATATCCTGGTTTAAGCGAATTTATATTTAGGTAATTTTTAGTGACTTCGCATCGCCAAAATAATTTTTCTAACTATAAAGTTAATGTTAAAATTATAGAAAAATAAATAGGAAACGTGAACAGAAATTGGGAAGTTTACTGGCTTTCAAAAATTCCACGGGATAAGATGAAAAGAAAAGAAGCTTTTGATCAACGTGATCTGCTGTTATCAATGCATGCTACTTAGATCCGCGTTGGCGGAAAGCACCGTATGGAGAATTCGCAAACGGTTTAAAACATAGTCGGTGTGTTTACGATTTTAACGCCGGTAACGAGCCGGAGCGTTCATAAATGAGCTCACTTTTTCCACCGCGGGCACGCCGTTTGAAAAGCGTCGCGCGATAACACCCGAGCCGTAAAACTACTTGGCTCCGACCCAAGCGCGTTTATCGCTGGATTAGCTATTCCCCGTTTGTGTTTGTCCGTACGCTTTCCCGAGCATCTTTCGGCCGAAATTTGGCACCCGACCGGCCCGCCCTTGTTTATCCCATCAGTTGGCACCGATCTACCGCGGCTTCTCCTTTTCCCTCGATTTAAAAATGCGTGCCGTCCGGCGAATCGGAAAAAATAGGTCGTTTACAGCTCGACGTCTGCGTAGCAAATGAAAATCGGATTTGATTCTATCAATCTGCGCGAAGATTCGATAATTCGTCATATGATTTATTACGTTTCGTGATTTGTCAGTCTTGTTTGATTGAGATTTATCACTGCTTTTATTACGGTATTACTAATTGAGGTGGTGAACACATTTCTGGTTTATAAAAATGTTTGATTTATAAAAGCCGGGGAGGCTCGTTCAGAGCCTGTTTGCGATGATCGGATGTCAGTGAAAAATGACATCGTTGTCCGATTCTTCGTGTCGATAGAAGCTCGTGATTCATATAATACGCGACGAAAGAGTACAATCGATGATTTAGTTTGCTGCAATCGTATTTCACCTGCGTTTTATTGTCGTATCGAAGGGACAGCCATTAATTTCGTACGCGACCCACATCCTCGTTCCCCTTTCGTCGCGAGCGTAACTCAATTACCGCCGCGCCGCATTGGGTAGATAGAAGACACGCACGCGGGTATGCGTCTAATCTCTCGCCGCCTGGCATAAGTGGGCAACCGGTCGAACGTTGTCGCCCCATAAATCAGCACGATTTCGCTTATCGCGCGAGTTCCGATATCTTCTGTCTCCCAATTGCAAGCTTCGTACGACAATGTGTTGAACAACGTGCATTCAATTCTGTTCGATATTGTTTTTGAAAAATTTACATTTACATTATAATTGAATGCTGTTGTTTTTATTATCTTTATGAAAATCTATTGTAAGAAAATTCGAAAACGCGTAGAAGAGTAGGGGTGACTGTGTCCAACGACACAGGCCTTTCAAAGGATATGCGACTTGACAAAGACCCATAAAACGTAGAACGAAGGTCATACTGGCGATGGGGGAGGTCCTAGGACAACCGAAAGGTTTGACCAAAGAGGCACTCTTAGTACAGCCGTCCTAGTGTTGAGACATCGAGAATAAATACGAGAGTTGACTATATCAAGTATTTTTGTTACGCCCACGAGTTTTTATTTAAACCGTTCGCCACCCTCTTCATTTTACAGTTAGATTTTTGGCAAATCTTACACTATTGTTTGAATATTATTGATTTTATTATTAATTACTTATCTGTTTTTAAATCGACGTTAATCACTTCGTGATGAAATAATAAAATATCGAGCAATTTAGAAATAATTCAACGTGACGTGTGAAATTGTTGGAAAGCAGAACTTACTCGTGAAAAAGCATTGAAAAGTCTTGGCGGCGCGTGAGGATTGAAAATCCGTGAGGGAGAAACAGGCGCACAAAACCGTGCGCCGGGCTCGTTGATGCAAGTAATCGGACTACCGAGCGTTAAAATTGTACTCGGCGCTCTTTTATCACGAACGAATATGTCCCGCGCGCCCCTCACGCTGGCCTTACCCCGTTATCTTCGCCAAACCATCACCGTCGACGTCGCGCCGCGACGAGAACGCGAGCAATGTTTTGGATGAACGCTTACTAAAATTGCTGCCCGTTACACCCTTTTGTATCCCGAGCTCGCATATTTATTCCTCCTCTCCGTTTTTCTCGTCCCACCCAATTTTTCATCCTTCTTCCCTTCGTTTCCAACCTTTTGCAATTTCAAAAGTCGCATTTAGTACGAGTACTCTGCGATTTCTTTATAAAGGCTGTACAATTTTGCTTACACATTGAAAACCGATTTCGAAACGTTTTCACAAGCCGTTCACTACACCGGAATGTGAAATCTATCAAAGACTCTGTTGCTCTCTATAAATAAAATTCGATACAGCTTGCTCCCTTCTAGTTATTTACAAAGAGATTGTTCGATATTCGAGATCTCTATAGCAAAGTTATACTCTGATAAACCAGACATGAAAAGTTGTATCCGAAAGATACGGCGTGAACATTAATCCACGACACAAGGACGTGTAACGGAATTGAATATCAGCAGAGCCACGAGCCACTCTCTGGATGCTCGTCGATAGCTGCCACGCCTTGGCATATTTCCAAATGCCGGCTAAATGCCATCCGGATGTCATTAGCATTGCAAAGCGCGCGAACACTCCCGATGGATCGTGAATAACGCGACGCTTAGGTGAATAATGGAGGATTCAACGTAGTTACGACCAGTCGGATTATTATCAATTTTTATGCGCGTCTTTTTCAATATTTTCGCATGCGATTCAAACTTTATTAAGGACGTTAGTCCCGTTCAGTTGGTCTCAATTATTTTAAGTGTTGCCACGTAGTGGTATACATATTAAATAGAAACAAATGGTTGAGAATCTTTGGCCCTCTAATACATCGCACAGCGTATACATACGCACTTACACAAGCTTACACAGAAGAGCCGTTGCCGCTATTGGCTACACTATCCCCTCCCTCGCCGT